CCCCTCGGGACTCGGGAGAGAGCGACGCAAGGTCAGCAGCGGCGGCGGCACGTCCAGGGCGCCAGTGTGCCGGGTGCGCGGCGGGGACGCCCGCGAGCTCGCTGAAGGTGAGCGGCCCCGCGCCGGGGCGGGCTCGGAGGTGTGGAGCGGGGAGGGCATTTGGTGCCGCGCAGGGGAGCGGCGATCCAGACCCGGAGGGCAGTTCCGGAGCAGGTGCCTCCCTACCTGGAAGCGAGCTCCCTGCGGCCGGGAGCGCGGGGAGCCCCGGAGACTCGCACCGCGAGACAGAAGTTGCCTCTCTGGGGAGGACCTGGAATTTGGGACCGGCTGGATTCAGCCGCGCCGGAGTCGAGTCCTGGGCGCATATGGGCGTCCACCTTGCTGTCTGTACACTCTCACTTTCGTCGGAACCGCGCTCCTCCCCGCCTCATCTTGGGGTGTTTCTTCTGTGATTTCCAGGTAGTTTTCTTACGAGCTCTTCTGGATTAACTCCTAGGGGCAAGTCAGCCAAGCAGAAAACAGGTTGGGTGCCGAATGACAACAGGAGCTTTATGCCCTTGTTGTCTTGGCGAGGAGTGGTCACCAGGGAGGTACTAGGGACCTTAGTGCGGGTGGCAGAGGCAGTGAAGACCCTCATCTGGAAGTAGAATCCTTTCTGTGTTGGGTTATGTATCTCCTCCAAGAGCTTTTACTGTGAATCCACTTCATGAAACTTCCAGACAGAGCTTGGGCTCCAGCTACAACGCTTGAAAGATCATATAAATAATTCTTGGACTGGAAAAGCCATCAGTTCTTACATCGAACTTTTTGGATCGTCTTCTGTGTGCCAGATTCAGTGCAGTGCTGGTGACATCACCGAGCACTTTACAGGAAATCAATTCCAGTGTTTCTGTATGTTGTTGTCCTCACTTTACAAAGGAGGAAACTAGAACTCAGGAAGCTGTGACTTGCCTAAAGACATATAGCTACAAAGTAGAAGAGGCAAGACTCAAACCCAAGCCTCCTGAGTTCCAAATGTGGGATTGGTCCGCTACCCAACAATCTCCCAGAAAGTGGATTTGGCAAGGTGCACCCTGTGAACCCAAACTCATTAAAACTAACAGCTGAGATGAAAAGATGTGGTCACCAGCTTTGGGAGAAGTGCGTCCCATTCTACTTCCCAAGGTACCTGCCTGTAGTTCCCCTTCTTTTCTCTGCTCCACTGTGTAGCTGTGTGGGTAGCTCTGCTCCTTTTGGTTGGAGAATGCTTTATACACACAGGTGTTAAAGTGCCAGGATTCCCTCATCTGGCTCCAGGTGATTTCTCGGCAGGCTGACTATGACCCAGCAGCTGTGCTCTCTGAGCCGCCCTGCTGAGCTGTCTTGCCTGTCTATCAAAAGTTACTTCAAAACTGACCTTCTCTGTGGGGAAACAGGCACTTATTGCCGACTGAAGTATGAATTAGGGCAGTCTTGGGGAGGGCAGTTTGGATGATCTGGAAGGCTAAAATACCTACCACTTAACCCTACCATTCTGTTTCTGGGATGTTAACCTTCAGATACACTCTGATGTGTATGAAATGACTTACATCCTGGAGTATTTGTTGCAGCTTTATTTTTTATACCAAATGGTTGGAAACAACCCAAATGCCCATCAATAAGAAACTCTCAGGGACCAGCAGTTGGCTGATGGCTATGTCGCTGGACTCCCATGCAGTCCACGGTACAAGTCCCAGACCTGGTGGCTTGAACTCAAGCCAGGCGCATGTGTGTGCATGCCCAAGATCCCGAGAGGAGAATGGAGGAGAGGGGATTGCGGGCGTGGTCATCCCCCCTGGGGGGTGATTTCTCGCTTTCTGTTTCTCTGTCTTTGTCTTTCTGGCGAGCACATGCGCCCTATAGCAAGTACCCTTTTAAAAAATAATAATAATAATAAGAGACCCTTAAATAAGGTCATATTTGGGTACCAGCAAGTGGCAGGGTGGTTAAGGCGCTGGACACTCCCACATGGCTGACTACGGTTTGAGTCCTAGACCTGGTGGCTTGCTTTCTCACTTTCTCTCTCTCTCTCTCCGGTCAAATTAAAACTAATGAATGAATAAATAAAATTAATTATTTAAAAAATAAGATTATATTTGATCATAAAATCAAGTAGTTACCCAACAGAATAAGTTAAAATTATTAAAAAGCATAGAGGGCCAGCAGGTGGTGTGGAAGTTGAGGTGGCTGGATCCCAAATGGCTGACTGCATGGTTTGGGTCTGGGACCCAGCGACTGGAGAATCAATCACTCCAGGCATGTATGCATGGTGCCCAAAATCCTGAGAGGAGAATGGAGAAGGGATTACAGCATGGCCATGCCCCCTGGAGGAGTGATTTCTCTCATGCTCTCTCTCTGGCAAGGGTACACGCTCTATAGCAAAAACTAAAACACAAAACAAACATAGAGGGAGCCAGCCAGTGGCATGGTGGTTAAAGTGCTAGATCTCATATAGTGACCCTGGAGTTTGAATCCCAGACTCTGTGGCCGTAAAAAACCATGCTGGGTGTGTGTGCGTGTATGCATGCCCGAAATCTCAACTGGAAGGAGAAACAGAGGAACAGGGATTTTGGCATGACCATTCCCTATGGACAGTGCTTTCTCACTTTCTCTCCCTCTCTCTCTGTCTCTCTCTGCACGCACTCTCTGACATAAATTAAAAAATGAGTAGCACGGGGGCAAAAACAAATAGCATGGAGAGAGAATGTGGCAGATATGCCAACTGATGCAGGACTGGCTCCTGTGTTGTGGTGTTAAGTACAGTGTGTTCAGGGTGCCACCGTCTGTGTGTGAGTGCACGTGCCACATGTATATAAATACTCATATATACACTGAATATCTCTGAAAGAACACCAAAAACCTCTAACAAGGGTTGCCTCTGGGGAGAAAGTTGGCTCAAGTATAGGAGTGGGAAGAAGCCTCTTTGTACAGTAGACCTTTTTGCTCAATATTCAAAAATAGATAAAATAGGGGTCGGCAGGTAGCATGATGGTTAAGGGTGCTGGACTCCCACATGGCTGACCATGGTTTGAGTTCTAGATCTGGCGGCTTGCTTTCTCACTTTCCCTCTCTCTTTCTCTGTCGTTTTCTGGTCAAATTATAAATAAATAAATACATAAATGCATACATACTTTTTTAGAATTATTTTATTTAACTTCATTCATTCATTCATTCAGAGTGACAGAGAGAGAAAGGAGGTGAGAAAGCAAACTGCCAGGTCCAGGATTTGAATCGTGGTGGGCCATGTGGAAGTCCAGTGCCCTTACCCACCATGCTACCTGCTGGCCCCCTAAATAAAATAATTCTTTAAAAAATAGATAAAATAGGGGCCAGCAGTTGGTATAATGGCTATGTTGCTGGACTTCCATGCAGTCGACTACGGTTCGAGTTCCAGACCCGGTGGCTTAAACTCACACCGGGCACATGTGCGTGCGTGCATGCTCAAGATCCCCAGAGGAGAATGGAGGAGAAGGGATCATGGTGTGGCCATCCCTTCGGGGGTGATTTCTCACTTTCTGTCTCTCTGTCTCTCTCTCTCTTTCTGTTGAGCACACATGCCCTATAGCAAAAAACCTCTGAAAAAAAAAACAACACTGAGCCAGCTATTATGGCATACACGACTAAGAAGCTGTATTCCACAGGCTAGGACCATGTAGGAGACCTGAGTTTGATTCCTGGTCCAACCTAAAGGCCAGGTACTTATAATCCCAGGGACTCAGGAGGCTGAGGCAGAAAGGTAGTGAGTTCCAGGCTGGCCTAGGTAACAGCAAGACCCTGTCTGAGAGAACTGTGTGTGGTGGCACATGCCTGTGGTCCCAGTTGCCCCAGAGACTGAGGTGGGAGGACCTCTGCACAGTGAGATCCTGTCTTAAAAAGAAAAAAAAAAAAAAACTAAACTTGACCTCTTCTCTGAGCTGCAGCGGGCAGTGAGCACAGCTATGGGCTGGCCGTGCCTTCCCGTATGCTCAGGGAATGTTGGTTTACATTTCGTTTGTTGATAGTAACAGCAGTAGTCATTTCTTGAGGCTTACTTCGTACCAGGCTTTGTACTATCTCTAATTTTCAAAAACATCCTGCATGATCTGGTCTATGAAATTGCTATTTTTTCATCAAAAAAGGTTAAGTATTGACAATTTTATGTGATTGAATCTAGCATTATTGCCCTCATTTTCAAATAATATTGCTTTCCATTTCAGAATGGAACTGAGGCTCAGAGAAGTTATGCAGAAGGTTTAAGGTCACAGGACTATTTAGTGCCTGAGCCAGTATTCAAACCCAGGTCTGTTTGATGCCAGAGCCTGAGATCTTATGTTCTGCACTGTTGCTTTTTACTGTTTTTGTTCTTAAGGGATGCTACTGGTTGTCCTGGCCCCTCTTTTGGTATTTAATTCCCAAGGCCTGGGACACTGCTCACATTTCCTTTGTGTTCTCCAATGGCGTGTGAAACGAGATGTATTCCCCCAGTAGAGGTCAAGCATATGCTGTTGGCTTGATGAAGTGACACTGCTGAAACCTGAGGGAGGTGTCCTCTGTGTGTGCTCATGCCCTCCTCCCAGCGCCACCCTGGGAAGCAGACACAAAGCTCTTCCCTTCCCACAGTTGGGCAGGTGGTTAGCCTAGTCTGACAGAGCACTTTAAAAAGAGTGGCAGCCTATCTCTGGCAAGTGCGAAGTCACAAAGGTGACCTTGGCCAGCCATGGTGAAGTAACACCAGAAAGCTCAGTGTAAACTGAACATATAACAGAAACCCCCTTACCCTCTGATGCCCCCTGCATCCTCTGCAAGATAAAAGTAGCCATAGTTCTGGGGCTTACAGTGACTTCTGACCTCTCTCTTTCAGGTTCCTATTTGATTGTCTATTTTAGCAGGATGTTCAAATGGTAGACTTGAGCCTCAAAAGCCACAGGCTTTCTTTATTCATCTTTAGGCCCCCAACTTTTCACACAGGAATCACTGAAAAGTTGTTTGAATCAAATTTAATCTTAGCACTTTGTCAGTTTTTGGTCAAATACCCAAACTTGCCAGAGATCCCAGGGCAAGTTCATGTTTTCTCTGACACAAGCCGTGAGACTGAAGTCACCTAATGAGTTCTGTGCCTTCTCACCACCCATTCTACCCCCCTGCCTCTGAGGCATGTCCCCTCTGACCTCTGTGGCATTTCAATCCAGGGTGTTGGAGGATTTAGAAAATTCCAAGGCAAGTGTCAAGGCCATGGTAATCATTTGATTCACCTGCTAGTCCAGTGGAGACAAGAGAACTAGGTTTTGCAAGAGTGGCCATGAGTCAATGATCATTGTGGCTGGACGATGGACACGTAGGGATTTACTGTACTGCTCCACTTGGTGTGTGTGTGGAGCGTTCCAGAATTGAAAATGAAAAAAAAAATAATAATAAAGTTGAGCTGAGTTTTATTCCCACCTCACTTCTCTCTCATTTCCCCATCTAGTTTTTAAGTTTATTTCTTCCATGAGAGAGAAAAAAAATCCCTAAGAGTCTACATGGAGTGTTCCACCCCCAGCCTCAGCCAACCCAGATCACTGACACACATGAGCATCTGGCATGTTCAGGGAGACTGCAGGATGCAAACCTAGGTCTTTCCCAGGCAGGTCCAGCATCGCAGTGTGGCACCACTGGCGCACCACTGAACGGACCCACCCCATCTATCCCTGCCATTCGTGTCTTTGTATTAGGCTGGCCTGGTAGCGTGGGACGTCTGCACCACTGCTGAAGCATCATCATGCAAAGAGGACAGTTCTCGATGTTGGGAGATCGAGATTTTTGGCCCAGTTCTGTTACTCCTTAGCTCTTTGTCTCTAAGCAAGTCACAGATGTGATGAATTTTCTCATCTGTTCATTGTAAATAATTGCATTTGTCCTCTATCTCCAGGATATTGAGAGAAGTGATGTGCATGTTGCTATACTTTGTGAAGTTATGACCCACATTGCACCTCGTGCAAATGTAAGGTATTCATTTCTGCTCATCCTTGTAAATCTCTGTGGAAGGTACAACTGTAAGGAGACTCAGCAGGTGAGGCTCCACCTTACTGGTGTCTTCTTTAATATCCCTTGTTTTATAGCCTATTGCTCCTACCACCTGCTTCTATCGGAAGA